ATGGATGGAAGTAACGAGCAGCCTGATATTTGAAGCACAACATCCATTTCAGTCCCAGAAATCCCAGAAACTGTCTTCAGTGGATGCGCCGCGCTTGACAACCCTCAAATATTTTTTCTGTTTTTTAGCAGATGTGGCTCGAGCCCGGTCCGTTACAGAGACCTGGAAGGCAGGAAGGTTTCAAACACTGTCACCCTCATAAGTCAGGAGGTGGATTCTCTTGGTATCATCAACACTTTCTTTCTTTCTGGAGACACCAACAGCCTGAGAGGATGTCAGATTGTGACGTATGAACCCTGCAGACACGATTTCAAGTCACTTCTGCCAGAAACATCCCAGAGTATGTGTGTCTTCTTGCCAACAAACAGACATGAATTATTCAAGCGGCGCTGCTCCGTCAGTGACTCCAGCCTGCACTGGTGCTGCTGATTATACGGTTCACATAATTAAACGTAGCACTGAAGCGCAGTGTACCAGCATTACCTTCTGCATTTTAAGAAAATCCCATCGATTAGATGATTTGATTATGAGTCGCTGCTCTTCTCTGTGCTCGCCCAAGTCGATGCTCACCTTGACTGCTGGAGAAATGCTGGAAGACCTCGGAGCAGGACACGTTGACCACCTGCCCGACTTCAGCTCGCAGCCAGCATCCGATCTCGTCCCACTCGGTCTTACATCCTGAAAACAAAAACATAGAAATGCTTTATTAATCCCAGAGGGGAAATCCTGTTGTTACAGCAGAAAGAGTGAAGCTAGCGCCACGATGAGTAAAAATAAACAATGAGAAAAATATAAAATGCACAATAATTATAATGTACACTCTCAGGAAAACGGTCCCATGTGAAATAAGAATGTCAAAGTGTTTCATGTGTGGTGCAAATTATAGAAGAAAAAGTGTGCAAAAGGCAGTTTGACAGAGCCAGACAGATGTAGACAGATGTGTTGAACAGGTATTGCTCCACCGGCTGTTCTTATCGTTCATATCGTACCAGACGGCTCAGCCACTCATCGTCAGCCCACAGTCGCTCCCACTCATGCATCCTGCAGCCAGACAACCTGGACGCTGTCAGGCATCCAGCCCGAGTCAGGCTGAGTTCTGTCCAACACCAGGAAATCAGAGCTTCTCATGTTGTACTTGCGCTCCACAAGCGTTCACGGTTTTCGTTCCTGCTGCTTTGTAGTTGGCATGTTTCATGTTTGATTCCCGTGAAGAGTCTGAAGCTGCCACACACATCTGGAAACAGGAGATAGATGCTGATTGTCTCTGTTCCTCAGACTGAGAGAATAATTCTGCCGCGACACTTGAGATCCTGAGAAGGGCTCGGCTGGTTGTTGACTCGGCCGGTTCCACTTGTGCAGCGTTTGTCAGGTTGTTTCATGAAGGTCAGCTCTAAGTAAAAGGAGTTGGGTGAGAAATGTACCGCTGCCTCTCCCCGTCTGTAGTGACCGTCCACCAGACCACGGCCAGCTCCACATCACCAGGATCAGCAGCCAAGGAGAAACGCTGGCAGGATAACACCAGTGTTTTCTATTTTAACTGCCAGTGTGTATATGAATTATTAATTATTGGTGTCGGGATCTGCCCTGAACACACTAAACTGTGTGAGCCCTGCTTGTCTAACTGATGCAAACACCTCAACAACCAGCTGATGGATCATTCTGCAGACGTCTGTGCTCCCAGAGGAGAGCTGTGGCCCACATGGATCTATCATGCTGGTGGTTTGTATTAAACCAGTGAATCCACACGTCTGACCTTGTAAATACGTCCTTATGGAGGGTTTTACTGCAGTCAGTGCCGAGGCTGAGGAAACGAACCAGCAGAAGCAGTCCTGTCAGTTTGCAGCTGGTCTCTGACGTTACAGCTCGCCGGTGTGTGGCGTAGAGCAGTCATTCAGAGCAGAGCTGAAGGTGAGCTGGTGTGCTCGAGCTGCAGGGAAGGGCGACTGGAGATGATACAGCCGTAGACTTCTAAGATGTGCACATTCGAGGAGAAGCACAGCGACGCCGAGGCTGTTAAGGAGCTTCTGAATGTGTGCATGAGTTTGACGGAGATGTTTCAGGAGTTTAATCGTCGACTGGAACGTTTCCCTCAGGATGAACACCTGTCACCTGTTCAACTACAGCTAATGACACTTTGTGTTTTTAGGTCATTGAATGTTAGCGCGCTAATGTTAGCGTTTAGCTAAGAGCACCGGTTCCTGTCGAGGCCCACCTCCGCTCAGGTCTGTGCAGCGTTGGGTTCGGTGTGCTTTTAGAAATGTTCGATTAGATCAGAAGAACATTTTCTGCCCATAACGCGAGCAGCCAGTTTATAAGCAGACAGTTGCTTCTCCTGCATGATGTGGCTGCTATTTATCCAAACACCACGAAGGACGAGAGGATCCAGAGCTGTCTGTTCACCATCCAGACGCCTCACAGCAACTCCATGAACCGATGACTTCCTGTCATTATATTCATGCATGCGTGGACGCCTTCAAACGCCGTCCACACGTTACACACAGATGACCTGATTACCTACCGTCCTGTGTAATTAAAGGAGGATATTTCTATTAATTCTGGCCTAATAAATCAAAAGTGAGCCGGCTGACGGCAGCCTCGTCCTGTTTCTTTGAACTGATGACGGTAAAAAGCTTTTACGGGATTCTGGATAAACTTGGAGTTACTCACTGGTGTGAAGTGGATCAGTGAGATGACGGACGTGACAGGAGGGAATAAATAAATGGACCCGGTACCTAATGCCAACAGGACGTTTCTTCTCATTTATCGCCAAACGGCTGAAATGAGACCAAAATAAATGTCGGATACGTTTTCAGGAGAAAATCTCTTCTTAGGAAAATAAAAAAAGGAGCATTCACTCTCCTGAGGCACTGTGAGTTTCAAGGAACAGAAAACACTTTCCGAGGTCCGGGAGTGGATTCTTACAGAGAACATAAACACCGCCTGATGTTCTGGTTCCTGCTCTTCACTCAGCAGGACGTCGGTGACCCACATTTGGTGCCGTCGCTTGTCTCCTGAACTGCTGTCTTGCTGTAGTTTCTATCTGAAGTGGCAGTTCAGAAAAAAAAGGAAAGTAAATGTCCAGATGATGGTGTCACAGCAAAGGTCTTTGGCAATATCAGACGGGTTTATCAGTCTGAGAGCACGACAGTGGACGCGTTGGGCAGTTTATTGGTCTGAAGACAATGTAGGAAGATAGATTTGACCTTTGTGAGATTTCATACCAGGCAGTTGTTGGATTTTATCCACGTGGCTGTCGACAGGTTCACAGCTTTGGCCTGGATTTCACTAAATCAAAAAACTTGTGTACAGAAGTGTGTGGTCCTCAGAGGATGGATCCTAAGGACTCAGGAGACCCACTGACTTTCCCTCTAGTGCTACATTTGAGGGGTTCAGTACCGGAGTGGGTCAAACCACAAAGAATCCGAGGTTTAGTTTGATGTTGTTCTGATCAGTGTTTCTGGTCGACTAGTTGGTGTCAAAGTGCTCCAACCAGCAGCCCACTGGTAATGTCACGGTGCTGCTTTGAAGTTTGGCCCATGATGGTTTTGCTGTGAAAATTTAGCGGCAAACTGGACCGAGCCACAGGAAGCGCTGACCGCTACATTGCAGGTAGTTCAGTTCAAGATGGCGGACAGCGGTTTGTCCCGCTTTGGCGCCAACAGCCTCAGTTGTAGGTTTGAGTGAAATGTCTCCGGGCCAGTTCACTATGAAATTGGTTTTAGACACTGGTGAGCACGGGGAGAAGGAGAGAAGTTAAACGAAGGCCTCCGGTACCAGCTTTTAGCTCTGCTTTCACTTGAAGTACTCAAATAATCTCAAAGTCTTTGGAAACCTTCACAGAGATCCGACTCTTTGCCACCACTGCCTGAAACAAAAAGGACATTTATACATAAGAAAAACAGCTGTGGTGATGAATGTAGATACTAACGTCACCTCATTATCACCATCAGCCTCTTCGATTACGCCAACTAATCACAGCAGCAGCATCATAATCAGGTGTTACTGTCCAATTTAAACAACATTAACATCTGAAGAAAAAGTCAACTAAAGCTGATGGAAACTAGTTTTGAAGATATCTGTACGGGATTAGTATGGATCCCACTCTGATCCACACCACAGGGAACCACCGGAGTCAGTGGACGTCTTCCTCTGGGGAGCAGACGTGAACGTTCATCCATCCGGCAGCCTTTGAGCTGCTGACTGACGCTCCCAAGAGTCAGCATGGCGACAAATGGAAAAGCTGTCATTAATTATTACTGATTATTCTCAGAATTAACTGTCCTTTACAGTAACATTTTAAGACCAAGGAGCCCGTGGTGTCCGGTGAGGAGCAGTCCAGACGGTTTGAAGCTGTTGTGGCTGCTGACGTTAATCTGACCTGCAGTCTGGGTTAAATGCACATTTTCTCTCTGTGCCTTATTTCAGCTGCACAAAGCCACTGTGTCGAATCCATTATCCACTCCTTCTCCTGTGCTTCTCTGTCTCTCACAAACCAACATCCAATCCGGGGGTCTGACAAAAATGGTGTCACCTCCGACGTAACCCTGGGAGACGGCGGCAAGGCCGCGGTGTGTGTGATGATTCAGCGGCGTCTCGTCTGACTCAGACGGATATTCTTGAAGTTGAGGATCCAGAGGGATTGTGTTAAAATGCACTTCAGGGCATTCTGTCATCATTGTTGGTTCTGTGAGCGGCGGTCTCAGGAGCGCCACCGTGAATCGTAGGAGTTCTACAGGAGGAGCACACGGACCTCCTGGTTTTCCGCCCTGACGTCGTCCACCGGCTTCATGATGAATGACGACGCTAATTGGAACAAAACCACTGCTGAAGGACACATGCACAGATGCTCCCGGCGCCACGAGGATGAGTCCTAATGACTCCGGTGGAAACGTGACATTTCTTCCACATTTGGGGTTTCGTGTGAAATATCTCAGCAGCTTGGATTTTAATTTAATTTGGTCTGAAACATTCGTGGTCCCAGCAGGATGAACTGCATCGACTCTCTGATGCCTTCACATTTCACCAGCAGGCAATTGCTTTTTTTTTTCATTTCATTTAATTACAGAAAAAAATGACACATGAAAGGAAAAGTAACGCATTTAATCGCACCGTTCTCAGTTCCCTCATTTCCGGCCCACCGGTAACTCTGATGCACACACTGCAGCCACTAGGTGGCGCTAATGCACCTAAAGCTGGTTCACAAAGAAGATGCACAAGAAAGTTTGGTGAACAGATGAAAGACGAGACGCATCGCTCCTGATGGCAGCTTGGATCAGAGCATGGTTGTGTTCAAACTGCCAAAAAGTGTTAAAATGTTGAATATAATCGTTATAATTACACTCTGAGTTGCACTAATCTGTGAGTGTAGCAGACAGATGAAGAATGCAGATAAATGTAGATGAACAATGAACACTTTTGATTGTTCAGGTTCACGTTTATGTCTATTTATTGATTCAGTCGTCAGCCAGAATTTATTAGAATTTAAAAAACAAGATTAAATAATTATAAAGCCTCTAAATTATTAGATTTAGTAATTATCCAATGTTGCCATACCAACACGTTAAACTAAGACAGGGAACATGGTGCTTAGCATTAGCATGTTAGCATTGTCACTGTTAGCATGTTAGCCTGCTGCTGTTAGCATTTAGCTCAAAGCCTCACAGAGCCACCGGCACCGA